AAAATGTTCACAACTGCTGCAGTTCTGTTCCCCTGGTATGTTGTACAAAGCACAGAAGAAACCTGTCTTATAGCTGGTTACTTTGTTTGTTGTATATAAACTGTCTGGGAGGTCGTTTGCCCCATCAGAAATAAATGCCTTCTTGCAGGGGGTATTTTTATAGTCCCCGGAGTATGATATATAAAAATCAAGCATTTGAAAGTAAGAAAAGTTCCAATATTTACGTTTTAGTGTTACGAGCCGCGCGTAACTAAAAGTGTCTGAGACGCCGTCTGCTCCATCAGAATCGTCTGCCTTCTTGCAGGGGGTATTGTTATAGGCCCCTGAGTATAATATATAAAAATCACGCATTAGAAAATAAAAATAAAATTTAGTCAAATTTTTGGCAACTTTAAATCGTCTGTCTTCGGAAACGGCGCACGGAAATTGTCTGCCAATATTTGTTTAGTAATTCTTACAGTGGTCTACAACACATATGTGAAAATCAGCTTTGTGAAAATAAGTGAACTTAGGTGTGTTTTTTACCAACTTCAGAGCGTGATAGCCCGTAATTGTATCATTGAACAGGATAACTAATGGCCATTCAGTTACATCACAACCGAGTACTATCTAATCATATAACAGTAAAGTTTTAGAATAAAAGTGTCGTCATCCTGGTCTGAGATCTCAATCTATTAAAGTTATATGCACTTTCAAGTGTCAGGATTTAATTGTAGAACTAATTTTGGATATTTTAAAAATTTAAATGAAGTATGCCTTCTCAGGTTTTCAAAAATTCTAAATATACAATTCAAATAACAAAGGAAAATTGTGTCAAAATTATTCTTTTGTCGGCTTCAATAAAAGCATAACACATATATGCAATGCTCACTAATTGCAAATGTAAAAAGGTAAAATGTGTCGTTTCGATTATTGTGCCAATCCGCGTATCGTGTAGCTTCGTCAGATTACGATAATCGCACTTTAAATGACACAATACTGCTTTCGAGAATTCAATGTGACGCCATTTTAGACCGCCATTATTGAAATGACAGAGGAGTTTGTTTTCAAAGCTTTTGTTTATAAAACTTAAATAAATTAACCAGAGTAATACAAAAACGGTTATATATTATTTTTCTGACTACACTATTATAAGTGACAAATACATTTTAAGGCCTCACCTTTTAGATTTAAAACTTTTATCTGCTTTTATTTGATGGTAGATGGCGTTAGAAACTAAACGGAACGTTTTCAAAAGTATTTGCTTCTTTATACATTTTTATTTGATTGCTGTTTGAAGTAAAAGATTTCTATTTTTATTGAGTTAAGGCTGTTTTAACCAAATTTACGATTTTCGTAAAATAAAGTTATGTTTACGTACTAGCATCAAATTCAAAAATCAAACTTTGAATATCTTAGTTTTAACGCAATTCTTCCGAAATGTAACTACATAGATAAAATCTCGTTACAATAAAATAGTCATAATTATCATTGTATTTAAGAAAACATTTATAATCTCAGAGATTACACGATTAAAAAATCTATGCAACGATACGTCAACTATGGACATCATTAATCACGGTTTTCTAAGCAGTCTTAGTTGATAACATATGTACATTTAATGTTTTACGTGATAATGTTTTGATTTTATCGTAATATATCATTTTGGACTGATGACCAGTCATGATAGGCTTTATTTTAGGCTCCTATAGATTTACTATATATATGCATTCCGACTGACGCTTATGGACAATAGGAGATTGCCCATCGCAAACTTCATGAAGCTACCGACAATACACATTGTGTATAGCTTGTACAAAGAGCTTCGTGTAGAATATTACACTAAGCAACTAACTACGCAATATGATATCGTTAGTGGAAATTGTTGTTAAAATAGTATTAGCTTAGTGGAAAAAGGTCTAAGAAAATAGTAGATCACGCTCATAGCTCGCAGCTAACCCACTTGCCATATTTAGGTTATCAACCTTATCTAAAACTATTATCGCAGAACAAATACGACTTCGTACAGTTTACAATATAAAACAAAAATCAATTTTGATAAAGTAACATGTTAAATTAATAATACAAATTAATGAACGTACTTAATCTTTGATAGGGCAAAGAGTATTCAAAATATAAAAGGTAATAAACGCCGTTTACATATTTTACAGATTAAATAAACGTAAAGCCTTAATTTAATAAAAAAAAAAAACCTTTTTTAATCTGCAAACAAAATATTGATCAGATCAGATTAATAAACTTACTATCGCCCGCAACTTCGCCTGCAATTAAAAAAATCTTAAATATGTATTTTTTACACTATGTTCCATATTTATGCTAAATTCCAGCGATATCCGTTGAGCCACCTAAACTTTCGTATTTATAATATTAGTAAGAAGTAAGATATATCAGTTGGTAGCATAAACTTTAAAAAGCAACGTAACGTACGTACGTAATTATATAATTTTTTTACACTTGAGAATTTGAATTTCATAGACATCTGACGTCAATATCAAGATCACTCAAATTTATCTCAAATGAAAATAACGTCCCTTACAATTGCGCCACTTTTTCTAACAATTTCCTTTACATTTCTTGTCTACATGTCACCTGTGAGTATAGTGATGACTTGTTCATTCATATGTCAAAACTACCACTTTTCCACACATCCCTCTCTTTCTCTTTATAAAAAGAGGGATAGCGATATGTTTCATACAGTATGTTTTAGTGTAAACACACAGAATTAGTGAGAAATTGTGTCACGAATATTTTTAGCTGTCTTGCGCCTTATCAACAACGCTGTCGATATCGTTTTGATAAAACCTCACTTCCTTTAACTTGTGTTTTCTTTATGACTATTATGTTTATTGCATTGTTTCTGATGATTCGTTAATGATTCACTTAACTGCCCCCTTAGAACAATTGTTATGCGTAAGTAAATAACGCAAGTTTGATTTTACATATTGTTTGTCGTATTTTCTGTACATAACAAATTGTTTCTTGGACTAAACGTCTTTAATGTTTTTATTTATTTGCTATGTTTATATGTATTTTAAGTATAACAGGGGCATTACATATGTCAGTTAAAAATTTTCTAACCTCAAATTTGACTGACGTTAACAAAAACTTAAGAGCCAAAACAAGGTTCGACAAACACATTGGATACTTTTGTACTGTAGTTTGTTTTTCTCTTAAATCCATTAGTTTAATGTACCCTAAGTATACCCTAAGTTATCACATAAAAACCCTGAGTATGACAGTTAAATATTCAATTTCAATCGAAATAAACTATTCGATTTAATCGACTTTAATCGTCCAGCTCAAAGTGGCTACAGTTATTTCATCCTGCCAGTCTTGATGGCCGGTTATTAAGTAATGTTCTGTAGAAGTCGATCGAATTAGCGACTTCGCGAACCGTTCCTTATAAAAATGCCTTACTGTATTTATTATAACTCACACTGACATAAAACCACTACCAATGTAAAAACTCGTTACAAACTCGCATGAAAAATCATTCCTTGGTACATAATGAATTAAGTGTTCGTAGTCATTTTATTTTAATAGTTACGAGTTTTTAAACTCATTTTAATATTATATTACATAAGAGAAAAAAAAGAAAAAATCGATTTTTGTTTTCTAATACAAAATATAACATACTTACTCTTCAATTTAATCATATTCAAATATAAAAAAACATGATAGCATATTTAACAGAAAATAAATTAATTATTTACTTTTTCAGTATATAAACTAAATTACTACAGCTTAACAGTGCAAGCGTTCTCGACAGTAAGTCGAATTTATTAAGAGGACTTTCGAGTGAGTTTCTGTAGTACTAACACACACACTAGCGCCATGTGTGTGTGCAGCAGTCCGGACCCAGTAGAACTGCATTCCTCCGCCCTGCTCCCGCCACGGGACGCCGCGTCTACGTTTTTTTACACAATTTTAACATATAGAAAATATATATCGAACCTAGATTATGTTCTTAAAGCTTTAGATACATTAAAAGTGGGAGTATACAAATATTATCTAGTTTTATAAAAATATTGTACTAATTTTGATTAACTATCACGTAAAATTTATTAATAAATTCATTATACGTAAACAAAAGCAAAAAGGTTTTAATTAATTGCAGCTGTAAAATAAAACAAAAAAGAAGGCCTTGATACCGGCCAGTAATAAAAACATAATTCGATGCATGTGACTGGCGGCTTAACAACGAAAGCTGTTAAAATAGTGTAACTATGTGGAGATTTGACGAATTATTTAGATTTATAATAAAACCAATGTCAGGCGTAATCAACTACATAACTTATAGTTAGCAGTTAATTTTCAGTTTGTGTGATTTCTAATGTGTATTTACTTCAGTGATTATTCATGTATATGCTGTATTCTTTTCGTATTGACATTTAAATGCTGGAGGATTTAAGACAGTGCTTAATATGATAATGTAAAGCGCCTTGACACTTGAGAGTCAAACACCGACCAATCAAGTGACAGTAGGGCTGTCAACTTTTCGAGTTAACAATTCTTATATTGGTTTTTTCATCGAAAACAGAATAGGTGTCGTAAAACAAGTCAGTAGTTGTTATTTGCCGTCAATTTTAGAGTATTTTATTAAAAATTGGCAACACTAAATTCAGGCAACAGTTATTGTTGGGTCACGGGCAACCGTACTCCGATCATCTTATAGTTATATTTCTTGCCTACGTCATTTGTTCCTGAGATTTTAAAGCTGAATAAAGAAACACGTGAATTTCAGTACACCTGTCACTATAATTTCTTCCACATTGTAATAGACTCACATATCAGTGTGTATTAGCGAATACTAACGTCATTAGACGAAACGCTGCGACAGCATCTTGGTTGAGCCCAGTTTGACCTGTGCCTTACGCACACACGCGCAGCCCTGTTCATACGTTCACATACGAGCACGCACACATATACCTTTATTACTC